TATATATATATATGTAACACATACCATTCACTCGTCAGCTGCTCGCTTTCTCGTTCGCTCATCTCAACCCCCGCGCAACCCCCAATTGGACTCGACCCTGCGAAACCCCCTCGACTAGAAATACCGGCACCCCAAACACGCCTCTTTCTTTCCCTCCGGTCCTTCGTGCCCTGCCTCATCGTTCTAACCGTCAACTCCCGTTCTTCTCCTTCCCGCGGAATCCACCCCCAAATCTCCTCGCGAACACCCTTGCGCGTAACGACCAAACCGGCAACGATCCTCGGCGGTCCGCTGCAGACGGATCGTTGGTTTTAATTTTCTAGGTGACGACGCACGCCCGGTGAAGAAAGAGAAGAGATTAGCCCGATGCTTTCTACAATCCGGTCGCTTAATGCGGCCGCTGTGGCCAAAGTGGCCGCGATCGACGGTTCGATGCATTCCTGTGCATTCAAGTGTACACAATAAGCAGCACTTTGACGTATCCAGTAAGGCATATAAACTACTACCTCATAGGTGACGACGCGATTTAAGGACACTCCTATATAGATTTAAACAAAAATTTAAAAAAATTCACTACATTTGACTGTCTCATTTATATTCGACTCAGGGTTATTATCGTGAAGTCATTTGGCACGCAAAAATATATTTTGGTATACTAATATATAGATGTTAGAGAGAGAATATTTATTAAGTCAAGACAATTAGATTGACATATATAATCAAGAGATAATACATATATAATGAATCTCAAGACTGCAAAAAAGCATTTCGGAATCCGCGGAGAATACGCTGCTAGTGAAAGCACTTTTTTATCTGTCACTTATCGGTTCATGTAATCTGCCTATTGAAGACGGTCACATCTGGATTCGTCATTCATGATTTTGACTAAAAACCAAGCCGCGGGCACAATTTTCATGATCCTATTAGACTTATAGCACTATAGAATAGATCTTTCATTCCTTATGTACCACGTATGTACACGTACATTGAGCGCGCGCGCGCGCGAGGTGTCGAAAGTCCACAATTCATAATGCAACATATAATTCTCGTGAATCGAGCGAAAGGACGAATAGAGAGAACATAATCATTCGAAAATATCTTTTTTTCGAAAGCAAGATTATATAAATTTTAGTGTGCAAAGGCAAATATTTATCGAAATTTTAATTAAATTGAATTTTCATACTAAAACTATTATACGAATTATGTTTTTTACACGAAAGAAAGATTTTTATAATCCTTATTCACAACATAAAGTTATTTTCTTTTTTAACGCGGATTTCATTTTTCGCTATTTGAAAGATAAAATAAAATTGGAATTAAAAGATAACAACTGGTAAATTAGTAACGGTCTGCATAGTCTCTAACATGATAAATAAAACGTGCCATCAACAGATGTCGACTCCGCTAATATTTTATCATTAAGTAAAAGTAAATCAAAACTTACCGCTTCGCTTTAGCAAAGAATCGTCACGGCCGTGAAGCTGACTACCGGGCAGAAGAGTCTGACCGGATCCAGGAGTCGCCGCAGTTGGAATTCCCGTGGCTAGAGGATGATGGGGAGGTGTTGCTGAATACCATGCTGGTGGCCAACCTGCTGCCTGCCCGTTAAACATTCTCAACTTGTCGTAGACACTCTCGGCACCCTGATGCGCTTGCACCGCGGCCGCCTGTTGCTCCTTCTGCGAAGCCAAGTTCCTGAGAACCCTGTTAATGGACGACACCTACAAAAAGACGGAGATTTTCGATTAGAATTAATTCGCAAATCATTTATTAATTCAATCCTATGAGGATCAAGAAAGTGCTATAAAAGCTGCTGTCAACTTTTGTACTTTTTATTGAAATTGCTGGCAACAATTTTTGTAAAAATTATAAATAAATTTGTTTCGAAGTCTCTTAAAAATGTAATAAAAATTATTATGCAAATTATGTTTGTTTCTATTTTAAATTCAAAATCATTCCAAGAAATATAACATTTTAATGGTTGTATAAAAAAATGTTTAATATTAATATATACCTCTAAATTATATATATATAATTCAATTAATGATTTGTGTATCTAAAACTTAGTTGCCAATGGTGATTAATCTTCAATCATTTATAATTCAAAGACTATAGAAATAATTACCATTTTTTTAAATTTTGCTTCTAATTTATATTATTCCTGTAGAATATTCCTTTACAGAAAAAATTGATGATTTAGAAATGTTGCGTCGTTTTTCTAATGATCACGCGGTGATCCTTATGTACACAAGATATCTCCAACGTCCACTTTCGATCAAGAAAAAGGAAGATAGAGGCAAAAGAGGCTGGCGTGGCGGATCGGGGCGAGGCTCTTTGTAAAATCTCACAACCGCAGCCACTCGTCGTCGCACGAGAATCATTTCCGTCGTCATAGCTGAGCACTGATTGTCCGTCCCTCGCCGTCGCCCCTTACGCGGGATCTTTCTTCCTCTTTTTCGTCCTCCTGCGGTCGCGGGATGTGAAGGGGCTCATACCCAGATGAAAGGACACCGCCATCCAATTATTATTACATAAAACGGTCTCCACGGCTCTTCGTCCCCCTCCTATCCGAGGGACGGTCGCCGTCGTCATCGTTGTCGTCTTCACCTTACGCCCGCAACCGAGCCACTGGCTAACTCCAAAGTTATAACGAGCCGGCGTACAGCACAGGGATCTAAGCATTGCGCTCTCAACTTGCACATAATGGTCCTCAGCGTACTCCATACGCGCGCCAACCCCATCCTCCACACCCTTCTGCAATCGACGCCAAGCTTGGTGCAGCAGCTGGATATACACAGCCGTTAATGCAGCGCGGACGTCGGATATCGAGCGGAGCTTCTTAATTACGAGATCGACAAGCTTCGACAAGAGCGGTATGAGAGCAAAGCCGATCCTTCTCGCGTAGTTTGAGTCAAAACCGACGGAATAATGGCCGAGTGACGCTGAGAGAACGTCACCGTTAGAATAGCGCGCTGCTATTAGAGTTAAAAGACGAGGAAACCTGACTTGGATGGTTCGATTATATTCAAATATATTCGGGTAAATATTGTGCTTTTCGTTTAATATCGAAATTTCGTATAAAATAAAGATAATTTTTTATGTAAAGCGATCTATGCAATGTGATGAGAATTGTTAGAATACAAGAAAAAGTAGAATCATGTTTATGCGATTTTCAATTTCTCGCGAATAGGTATATGCGAATATTAGGAAACACTGATTTTCATTGATCACACTCACTACATCTAGAGCTCATCGAGCGTATGTAACTTCCATCTCGACCCATTCCGACGTTACGAGATAGTAACAGGCGAATAGCGGAAGCAACGTTTCGAGATGAGCTAGCTCCGGCTAACCCGGACCAGGCTCTCCGTCATCAAACCGTCTATCCAGCTTGGATGCCGGGAGAGAGAGATCCCGACTGTACGCTCCGGACCGCTCTACTCTCGCCGCACAACAGCCGCAGCGTCGATGCAGGCCATTACACGCGCGACCGGACACGAATAATTGTGCAACACGCTTAACTGATCCCATTCACCCTGATTCTACCCGCTCTCGTCCGTTCTCGCCGCCGACTAACCCCCGTGCGCACCCCCGATACCAACCCCCGACGCGATGTGTACCAGCCGCAATAGCCAACGTCACCGCCAATACTACCAGCGATCCAGTAATCGAGAAAAGATCGAAACGATCGAAAGAACGATCTGTCAATCAAATTGTCTCTTCTCTCTCGGTTTTGACTTTAAACTCTCAAAAATTATTCTAGATTGATTTTTTACTTTCATCGATTTCAAGTTATATTTACCATCAATTTTATATTTCATTATTGTAAGCAAATTTAAGAAATTTATTATTAATAGAACGATGTTTCTATCATTTCAGTAAAAATATGTGATAAATATTAAATGTATTAGATCTGTCTGCGTTGCTTACACTTTTTGCACTTAATCTTCGTTCTCTCTCTTTTCAACACCTAAATATATATTTATCCCGTTTTAAGTACATTCTTTTGGAATTCCAAGCAACGCGAACAAACCTATTAGAGATGAGATATACTTGATATTTTTCAGCAAGAGACACAGTGTAACACCTCAACAACAAAGACAACAAAAAGTCCAAAATCGAGACATAAGACTTTTAAAAAATTTAAAAAAAAAAGTCTTTTCGGACATGCGTGTGTTGTATGGAATAATAATGATTTTATGTTGTTCATTGTAAACGACAAGGATGTAATGATTCACCGTGTCTGGAAAGCACCCGCTAGAGCGATGTTTTCAAATGTAATCTCGCCAATAGCTAACACATTACATGCTTAACGACAGAAGCGCGTGCTAGACGTTCTGATTGATCATCCTAGAATCCCCAACATCCCCCATCGACCTTCTTCATTCGGCAATTCCAAGAAACACACTAGCAAGAGCGAGTTTGCTCCACAAGCCGATGGATAACGACTTGTACGCGTGCCATCCCCCTCGGTATTCCTGACGGGCAGCCGATAGGGGGATCTGTCAGTAGAGAGAACATCCTCGGAGAAGCCAGACGAGGACGATCGACTTCGAGGATATTTCGCGCGGTCGGGTAGGAAGGTTGGGTGGGCAGGATGTTTGGTAGATGGACGGACGTATACAACCGGAGAGGATTCTTCGAGTTCGGAGAAGGGCGATCAGCGCCCAGGAGGGTGGACAATGCCGAGGTCCGCGTAATGGACCGATTACCCCACCCAGCCGATCGTATTGACGAGACTTTGATTAGGGTCGAGTGGCCGGATCCGACGGGTAAGTACACTCGACCGGCTGTGCGCCACGATAAGTCGACGGCGGATTACGCGTAAACTTATACCGTATCCAATCAATGTATGGCGCCAATACAGCGGGAAATTTATTCGCGCGTCACAAATTTATGCGAGACGAGAGAATCATGCACGCAATCTAGAGAAATTAGAATCTGCGTAATCCGCTCATTTAAATTCGCTTTGCTCTAATCTGTCATTCGCGATATTTAGCGAGATGCAGTTCAGTCAAGTTACCAGGTTTTAAATTTATCAATAAATTTAATCAGCTGACAGTCTGCATCCTAAATTAAGCGTATCTCACAATCAGATTTTTCTTTTTTTTACTTACGCTGGGTATATTGTCGTTATTGCAAACGCCCTCCTGCAAAAGTCGATCGCGAATCTCCCAGGCGAAGATCGAGGGACATTCTCTTTTGTAGTCGGCAATTTTGTTGACCACAGGCGTTGTTGCCACTCGCGGCTTGCTACCGCCGATTGCCCGCGGCTTGATTGAACCAGTCTCGTAATACCTGGAAAAAGAAAATTGTTATTTTTCGTTTAACGTATGTTACAGTTACGTTATAGTGAGTCTTTTTTAACCTTTACAGGACGGGAAAGCCACTATAGTAGCGCTAAAATAGTAATATTATATTTTGGAATAAGAAATGCAATAAAATTATAAATTATGCAAATATTACTTAAGAAAACGTTGTAAATTTTAAAAATAGATCCTTGTTCAATAAATATTATAAACATATAGTATGGTTAAATGAAAAGAAAAACGAGTTGTTTTTTATAAACAAGAAATCATTGGATAAAAACTAGCTTTATTAATACTTCGCAATTTGCAGAAACCATAATGTTACATCCACAATGTTATATTCACGGAGATATTGCTACATGAAAAATGGAGACATAACGTAACATTCGCTCGTTATTATACATCCAATTATTTTTAAATCTCTAGCATCACTAAAAATGAATCACTAAAAATGGAAGAAAATCCAGTGAATTCTGTCGCAAATTTATCGATTGGCCTTTAATTGTATCGAGAAAATACAAGCAGTTGTGTCTTATGGCCATTGAATCCCCGTTGATTGAATATACTGAGCTAAACAATAGCAATGAACAATCAAATTCCATTGGTTGATTTCCTGAACGCGCTCGTTCACATCAATTATTTCGAGGGAGATCAAGGTAGGCGGTACTTACCTGCCGAGGATTTTGGAGACGCATCCATTGCTGACTTGCAGTATGCGCGATATGTCGCACGGTCTAGCACCGCTGTGAGCCAGCTCGACGATCTTCTGCCTCGTGGAGTCCGGCAGTGGTCGGCCGTTGACGTAAACGCCGCCGAGCTGGTTAACCCCGCTGTGTCCTGCAGCCGAGCACCCAAATATTGAGTTCTGTCCGACCATAGAACCCCCGCCAATACCCGCGCCACCCCCGTGCATCAAGTCCTCCTCTGTGAACCAAAACGCGCGCAACGTATACGTCACCTCACCAGAATATCTGATTGGTAAACAGCCGGATAGTACGCTCCACCGTGATAGTACGCGTTCTTATTAGTCTAATTAGCGCTCACGCCCGTCGCACGGATCCGGAAGCGGAAGCGTCAGATTGAACACCAAGGGAGATGTTTGCGCCGCGATCACACGCTCCGCCGCCTTGCGGATGTCACGTAACGAAGATCAGTTTGACCCTTGCGCGCCGATTAATTCGCTGCCATGTACCTTATTACACGATTACATCTGCGTACGGTATATAACGTGCATGGAGGAATCGTCGAAATGGAAATATATCGCGTAGATATCGTACGATACGATATGTTGACGACAACGATAATTGCGACGCGAATGGACAATACCCAGGTATAACGAATAGATACACGGTACGGTATCATGTAATTTGATCATTACGTGCAGGGAGGTTTCAGAAATGATGAAACAGTTGCAGAATTGTAACAGACATAACTCACAATGTAGATGCATGTACATAAACAGAAATGCATTCGACTTGCTCGGGGAATACAGTGTTAATGAAGACAATTCAAAAGACATTTCACATATAATGAACAAAACGGCTTTTCACATACGTGTCCTAAATGTGAGCAAAAGTGGACCTTTCAGCTTCTCTCATCACTTTGTTAAATTCTCGTAGTGCATCGTCGCCGACGATGCAAAGAAAAAGACGCAATGAGAGAGCGGCGCGGTGTGCGGATGATGAGAGACTCGAGAGGAGGAGCCGGCGTTACTAAATGCATCTTGCAATTAACAAATTTAATTAATTCCCGCTTTTGCGCCGCGCAAAACGACAAGAAATAGTTGGAATGTAATCTTGGATAGCTCGCTCCGCCTTTGTCGCTGTGCGAAATCCACTTCGTATAACGACACGAAGTGGTTTTCTCATTCGCTGTCTCGCAGCCTGTCCCTTCCTCTCGTTCTGCCACCTTCTATCCTTACGCCATTTCTGTCGTATCTTATTTTCACTGATGCGAAAAGATTAAAGATCGCCGCATCTTACGATCAATCGACGTTATAAAATGTACGAGGACAGAAAGTCCTTTGATAGAATATGCTAATTTTTCAGAAACTAATGGTTCTCAATGACTGCAATCATTGAATTAGATCGATTGTAAAATGTAAAGATTTTATATTGTAATTTATGTAACTTTGTAATATATGTAAAAGCGATATAAAAGTACTCATCTTTTCAAAAATTAATAATTTTTATTATTTTGAGATGCTTATATTGACATCAAATTATTATATCTTTTATAATATTTTCTTATATCATAATTATTAGCATTAATTAATATCATTAAATTGCTTGTCGTTTAATATGTAGTATTGTTATTCTAGTTCTGTTCATGTTTGGATTTCAGGACTGATAAAGAATTCGATGCGCGATTATAGAATTGGATATACATATGTATACAAAAATTCCTGAAATATTTAATATTAAGATGCGCTTTATAATAAAAAATAGAATTATTTCTCTTCATTGATTTATTCTCGTTTAATTTTATTCTCCTCTAATTGGTTTAATTTTGCTCTATTATTATATTGTGAATAACAAATTAAACAAAATATTTTAAAATTACCTTACAAAGTTATTAGCTTACAAATTATCTTGCTAGTTCTTAAAAAAATTTATTATTACTATTTTCTATACAGTTTCACCTCTAACTGATGTCTTTTTTATTCGTAACTATCTGTTGGCAATAATAGATCTGTTTTACAATCTGCACTTATTGCGGAAGGTTTTCCAGCTTCAGTCCCTGCATTATAACCAGAGCTTTTTAAGCGAGCTTCAAGCACACTGAAAGGAATGGAATATGGTGATGAAAAACGAGAAGCGAGAAATTGGAGTTGAGAGTCTTGTTACAAATAATTCCGCGGCGAGGTAACGCGGAAATTTTCGAGGGGATGCTTCTTACCTCTCCATTTTATCGCGGCATTGGATGCTACGCTTCGCAAATGCAAGAAGAGAGAAGTAATGTCATTTTTTTTAGAATGCGATTTTATAACTGTATTTAATTTCATGGCCTCCTTCACTGAGAGAAAGGATTTTTTGTTAATTTAGCAAGTCACCAGTACTTTTAACCGTGATCGGTAAATATGTGATAACAAATTTTGTTGTTGTGTTTCCCGCTAATCTGCTATACCAATTCTTAGTAACAGAAGCAAACTATATAGAATCTAATCTATCTTTTGAATAGACTTTAGGCTCGTTTATATAGAATTCGTAGATGATCATGGAATTTTAAGTCGGTTAGGAAACCGATACAGTCAAATGGAGGGAGAATATTTGAT